GAGGAGAGTCTGATGAAAACGGGCTGACCCCCTGGTGTTTACCGGAATCTTTGTGCTTAATCTTTAGGTGTCCTTGCTTAAAGGAAACTGCAGACACATATGTCCTTCCAAGATTACTTATCCATCTGATTGTATCTAAAAGATAAACTTTATCCCAAACTGCTGTTACCATAAAAGCCTGAAGAGGCAGGCGAAGGAGGCTGCCTGGTTCCTTTAGCCAGGCGGTCCCTTAGCCCTCTCTCTCACAGAAATCGTGTGTCAGAGTCATCATTTATCTGTCGTTCAGGGTCTGCTGGTCAGCCCCGGCATTGTGCCTCCAGGTTTAACCCTCTGCCCACTGTTCCAACAGGTCTCGTCAACAGCCAGGCCCTATATTTATCTTCATCTCAAGTGGCCATGGTTGGACCACAGATTACTCTGCTAGCTTCTTCCCTGGAGATGGAGGGGCTGGGGCAGGGCGGGTGGGAAGGAAGGGCTGATTGCTCTGAGGGTGCCAGGGGTGGAGGCAGGCAGGACCCACGCTGGCATTCTGCTCTCCATGGGGTCCCTGGCCAACAGCTCCAGGGCCTCTATGCAGGGCTGCTGGTGTGGGACCATTTTGGGCAGCCAGGCGCTGGGAGCGTCTGGCGGGAGGGAGGTGTGGATTAGATGCTTGGGGTCAAGGGCCTGGTCCTAAGGTGCTGAATGTCCAAGTCAGGAGAATTAAAGAGTCAGTGGGGGTCTGGCTGAAAATGGACAACCTCTCTCTGGTCACGAGGAAACGTCTGACAAAGACAAAATGAGGAACTTTAACTAAAAAGAAAAACTGGTCTTCCTCTTTCCGAAAGCAGCCCGAGATGACCCCTGAAAATGGTTCGCTCTCCACCTGACCCAGAAAACCCCACAGAATCATGCAAACCAAGAGGCTCAGATCTCTGTGTTCCCTTTAAGAACACCTGTGAAACGGCCGAGGCCAGTGGTCGGCAAACTCATTAGTCAACAGAGCCAAATATCAACAGTACAACGATTGAAATTTCTTTTGAGAGCCAAATTTTTTAAACTTAAACTATATAGGTAGGTACAATGTTATTAACTTAATTAGGGTACTCCTAAGGCTTAGGAAGAGCCACACTCAAGGGGCCAAAAAGCCGCATGTGGCTCGCGAGCCGCAGTTTGCCGACCACGGCCCCAGGCCATCGAGGATGTGCGTCGCCAAAAAGCCACCATGTATCCGAAGGAGGTCACCTTACAGAAGCAGTGGGTGCCACTCCGTCGTTACCATGGTGGAGCTGGCAGTGTGCCCAGGCCAAGCAGTGGGGCCGGACACAGCGTCGGGGGCCCCAAAAGAGAGCTGAATTTTCGCTGCACATGCTTCAGAGTGCGGACCGAGGGGTTTCGATGTAGACTCTCTGGTCTCTGAGCACATCCAGGTGAACAAAGCTCCCAAGATGCAGCACAGAACCTTACAGAGCTCCTGGGCAGTTAACCCCAACAAGAGCCCTCCCCAGCACATGGAGGTGATCCTGCTGAAAAGGGAAGACGGTTCCTGAACCAGCGGAGGAGGCTGCACAGGAGGAAAAACATCCCAGAAGAAACTAAAGAAACGGAAACGTATGGCCCAGGAGTAAATTCAACATAAATATTAAAAAAAGTAAAAAAAAAAAAAAAGGGGGGGGATGGGGAAGGACACTTCTATTCCTTAAAAATACCAATGTCATCCAGGACGAAGAAGGGCTGTGGAGATGTCCCCATGACGAAGACTAAACATGATGCGCGACCCTGGGTGCTGAGCTGGGGGAGGAAATGCTAACGAGGACCTTGGCGGCTCAAGTGCCAACCAGGAATACAGATGGCGGCTCAGCTAAAAATAGTGTCAATGCAAATTTGCAACGCGGGCAACTTCGCTGTGGTTACGTGGGAGAATTTCCCTATTCTTAGAAAAGTACTTAGGGGTAAACAGCCAAGAAGTCTGTGACTTACTCTCAGGCGATTCAGAAAGAAAATGAAATGTGCACAGAGATAGCATAAATGACAAAGCAAACGGGACAGCACCCATCCCCAGAGGATATGTGGATATTTCCATGGGAATGTACTCTTGTTGACGTTTCTGAAGTCTGACGTTATTTCCAAATGAAAGATTTTTAAAAAGCCAAAAGATTTCGCAGCAGAACTGGTTCTTTCACACAGAATCCCACGTGGAACCCCACGTGTGAAACAGGGACGGGCAGGATGATCCGGGTGAAGCCAGGGTGGGCCCCACTTGCCTGTGCCCCTTTAGTGGCCCCGGGGGGGTGCCTCCTGGAACCCAGTTTGGAAACCACTGAGCGGGTTCAGCCTCCACGTTCTGGGGAACACGGTGAGGAGGCAGCCATTCCTGCATCCTCACGTCCATCGGACACACACACACATACTTGGTTGCATCGGATCCTCAAAATAGCACTGAGAGAGACGTCCTCGGTCCCATTTTGTAAGTGAGAAGATCAAGATGCTGGAAGGTAAGTACCTCCTTGGGGCCAAGCCATCCAGGTGTTTTCTATATGCTCTCCTGCCTTCTGCACCAAAGCTGGGGTTCAAACCCAGGCCCGTGAATGAACCCCAAAGACCCTGCTCTTAGCAGAACCTGCTTGCTCCCAGGGGAAGGGGCAGCCTCGGCCTGCTCAGGGCAGGGGTGAGACTGGGAGCTGCAGGACTCGCTGTCCAGTGCTCACCCAGGACCCACCTGGTCCTGGCGGGGAGTCTTTCGATGGAGCCAGGCCCCCGGCATGAATAGGCTCAGAGACTCCCACTGGGGTTGGCTTCTGGCTCAGGGGAGCTCCCAGCCTCTCTTCGTGAGGGCGGGAGACTCTGAGCGCCCCGCTGCTCTGCTCTCCCACACGCTGTGCCAGGCAGGCCTTTCCTTTCTTTCTTCTCTCAAAATCAGCCATTCCTCCCCATGCCCTGCTCTCTGGTTTTCACTGAGCGAATTCACTGTCAGTGAAGTCATTGTGTTTGAAGTTAGTCGAGAGATTGTGTGTTTAAAAGAATTCCAGGACGCCCAAGCTTTCTGAGTGAACTGGGACTCGCTGAGAATAGAATTGCCCTTTTCAGGCCCAAAGCTGTCGCTCTGACAGTCTAGGCCCTGACTTTGCTCTGAGCCCCAGCATGGCCCTGGGGGAGAGGGGGGGGAAGACAGGGATGATTCTTCAGATTAGAAGTTCCAAAGGGAAGGTCTCTGAAGGGAGCTTTTCTAGAGTGAGTGGACCATGCTCCACCCCCCAGTCACATACGGACCATGTTTTCTGTGGGCCTTTGGCCAGACTGGCCTGCCCTCCTCCCAGGGAGAAGGGGAGAATCCTCCTGAAATCGCCACCGTTGGCTGGGCCTACTGGGAGCTATGCTCGGAGGTCCACACTGAACATCTGCTGTTTCTGCATCACCAGGGAACGAGTGTGGCTTCTGAGGCCTCAGGAGTCGTAGTTCCCCTCTTTGTAAAACGGCTTCCCCAGGTGAGGAAATGGGCCTTAAAGGGTTAACTCGTTCAAGGTCACACAGGCCTAAGTGATATCAGGAATTTGCCCCCAAGTCTGTGCGGCTACAGAGGTGACAGTCCTTCTACTCCCCATGGCCATGCTGTCACGGACGGTTACCCAGGCTGCTTGCTGCACAGGGCATCCGCTGACGGGGTGACTGGGGGACCAGGTCCAGCCAGCGCCTGCTCACTAAGGTGCGCTCCCTGCTGCGGACCCTGTGCTTCTCCCCTGTAGGGGTTATAAATGGCCCACTGACTCCCTTCCCCACATCTGCACCCCTTGAGGCTCCTGACTTTGCAGCTCTTCCCATCAAGAAGGGCTGGGCTGGCCTTGTGACTAAACACATGGATGAAATATTTCCGAGTGGCATCATGCCGGTCCAAGCTCAGGCCCTGAGAGCCTCACAGGCTTTGCTTGTTCTCTTGGACCGCCTATTGCCATGGGCACAAGCCCGGGCTAACCTGCCGGAGCATGAGAAATGCGTGGCCCAGTCACTCTCGTGCCAGACCAGCCAATCAACCACCCAGCATCTGAGCAAGGCCATCCTGGACCAGCCAGCCTCCAAACAACCCTCTCTGACCACAGACCCAGGAGCCAGCCCAGCCACGCTCAGCCCACCTGACCCATGAACAAGAATACATGCTGATCAGGTGGCCGCTATGGGGTGAATTGTGTCCCTCCAAAACTCATACGATGACATCTTTTTTTTCCCATGAGCCCTGACCGAGGCTGGGGATCGAGCCTGCAACCAAGGTACGTGCCCTTGACTAGAATCAAACCCAAGACTCTTCAGTCTGAGGGCCAATGCTCTATCCACGGAGCCAAACTGGCTAGAGCCCTGTGTTGACATCATAACCCTCAGTCCCTCAGAATGTGACCTGACTTGGGAATGGGTTTGTTGCAGATGGAATTAGTTAAGATGAGGTCGTACTGCAGCAGGGTGGGTCCCCAATCCAATATGACCGATGGGGACATTTGGACACAGACATGCTCACAGGCGAAATGCCATGTGAAGATGGGAGTGATGCTGCCACAAGCCAAGAACTAGCAGAGGCTGGGAGCGAGGCCTGGAACACAGCCTTCCCTAGAGCCTTCGCAGGGAGCATGGCCCTGCGGACACCTGGGCCTCAAACTTCCTGCCTCTAGAACTGCGGGGGAATAAACTTCTGTTGCTGCAGTCATCCAGTTTGTGGTACTTTGTCACAGCAGCCCTAGGAAGCTAATACAGCACCTTTTCGTAATTCACACAAAGGCACAGCCTGGGCTGGCCTCCCTGCCTGCCTCCAGCCGACCGTGGCCCTCCTCCTGGTACCCAGGCAACCCTGCAAGGTGCTTAGGAACTGCACCCCCATCATGCCCAGTTCTGCCCCAGCAGGCCTCTGAGTCGGTAAAGGCTTCTCTAGTGCCTTCCAGAGGCCCTGGAGGCCTTGGTGGGGGAGGAGTCGCAGACCCACACAATATTGCAGCCCCTGGAGCCCCAGCCCAGGCCCCGTTGGCCGGCCGGCCGCCTACCTGGGTTGCCGAGGGCCATGGAGTCGTAGATGAGCTTGCAGGTCTTGAGCAGGATGGAGATCTTCTTCTCGGGAGAGTAGGCCTTGTGCATGCTGCTGAACTTCTGCAGGATCTTCTCCATGATGGGCACCTCGGGCACGCTGGTGGTCACGCCCAGGTCGGTGGTGGTGGTGGCCAGGATCACCAGCTGGTTCTCCTTGAGCTGCTGCAGGGAGCCGTCCTTGCTGTGGATCTCATGAAGGCACGAGTTGATAGCTTCTTTCAGGGGCTTCAGCACACACTTGTACAAGGCGGACTCCACAATCGCTTCTGTGGGTGGGAGAGAGTAGTAGGGTGAGGACCCCAGTGGCAGGGATCCTGGCCCCGGGCCTTGTCGCCCAACAGTGTGGCCAGGCCCATCTTCTGATCCCAGGAAAACATACTCACAGCCCCAGCAGGTACAACCGCCGTTCCGACACAGGAGACCGTGAAGTGCATGCCACAGAAAGCCACACGTGGAGCCCTCTGACTAATACACTGCATCCTAATGCCTTTCACAGGGCCCGACACAGATTAAACTCCCACAGAGCTGCCCACAGTACACAGCTTTGGAGGGCACTGCTCACACGGGAGTTGTGCAGTGTACAACCTGTGTAGCTGTACTTGGAGGTCCCAGGTACCCAGCAAATGCTTGTTGGAATTATTCTTGATTCTCTCTTTCAATCCCCAAGTCCACTTGTCTTCAGTCTCAAGAATCTAGTATATTCAGAACCTGACTTCTCACCACCTCCAAGGTTTGACCTTGACCTGAGCTACCATCATCTGTTGCCTGAGTTACGCTGGTAGCCTCTTGCTCTGGCCCCTTACAGTCCATTCTCAACACAGAAGCCAGCGTCATCCCGTTATGGCATGATTGACCATGACATTACTGTGCTGAGAACGCTCCAACGGCTCCATCTCATGGACAATACAAACCACAGCCTTCCCTGTGCCTTTCAAGGCCCCTGAGTGATGTGTCCTTGTGACCTCTCTCACTCAGCACCTTGCTCGCTCCCCTGTGCTGCTCTGCCACCTGCCATGCCTGCTCCTGCCTCAGAGCCTTTCACCTGCTATTCCTTTTGCCTGGAGAAGTCACTCCACATGGCTTATTCCTTCACTGCCCAAATGTCATCTTATCCAAGGGGCACCCTGATCATCTAGTACAGCGGTTCTCAACCTGTGGGTCGCGACCCCTTTGGCGGTCAAACGACCCTTTCACAGGGGTCGCCTAAGACCATCCTGCATATCAGATATTTACATTACAATTCATCACAGTAGCAACATTACAGTTACGAAGTAGCAACGAAAATAATTTTATGGTTGGGTCACAACATGAGGAACTGTATTTAAAGGGCCAGAAGGTTGAGAACCACTGATCCAGTAGAATGGGAGCCAGCCAGGTTTTCTCTCACAGCAGCTCTGCCACCCACCTGCCATTATCCCCACTCTACAGACGGACCAACTCACGCTCTGGTGGTGTGGGCCACACAGCTCGCTGGGGGCTGACCAAAGATCTGAACCCATGTCTACCCGACACCAGGCTCATGTCCAGCTGCCCTGGGTGACCGTAGAGAAATATTCTTGGGAAGTCTTTTTGGCTTTACCCTGTCCCCAGGGGAAGGGTCTCAGCTATTGTTTCCTCATCGGCAAAATGAGAGAGGGCTTCGGCCCAGCCCTCCGGGTTCCTTCATCCCCGAGAGCCACCACATCCCCTGCAGAGACCGCCTCTGGCCCTCAGCAGTCACAGGTCCGTACTCCTTTGGCCTCTAATTGCTCCTGTGACCGTCCCCCTAATAAAACCAGGAGCATCCTGAAGGTGGGGTCCTGCCCAGCCTCTGATGTGGGCGCATGAGCAGAGCTGGGAAGCACGAGGCAGAACAGCAGAGGGATTAGTTCAGTTAGTTCGGGAGGAGCGGGGTGGGGACGGTGGATGGTGGATTATCTGGGATGACCCCTCCCTCCCGCCCACTCCCAGCCCCCGCCCGGACTGACCCAGCTCCTCCTCGGAGTACTGCGTGTGGTCCCCCAGCGCCTTGAGCTCGGTGCTCTGCAGCAGGTAGCTCTTGAGCTGGGTCATCATGGTGCGGATCTCCTGCAGCATCTCAGTGCTGGAGGCCTGGCGCGCCATCATCTCCAGGCTGTACACTCTGTAGTCCTGCACCAGGTTGCCGAAGTACGAGGCCTTGTCCTGGGCCAGCTCCACCACCTTCTTGTACAGCTTGCGGTCATTGGAGAGGAAGGCCTGGAAGACGCTGGTGAAGCTCGCGAGGCTCAGGCGGTGCCGCGCCTTGCCCAGGATCATGGACGGCTTCTTCTTCACGTTGGGGCTGCTGAACTGCTCCAGCTCCTCCTCCGTGCTGCTGGTCGAGTACGAGTCTTGATCGGTGGCCGGGGTGTGCACCCCCGTACTGTCTGAGAGGGAGGCCAGGGAGCCTTTGAACTCTGGGGCGCTCTGGCGCCAGGCGCTGGCCTGGGCTTCTGGGCTCGGGGTCCCAGCTTGGGAGGCAGGGCGCGGGGCTTCTTCGTGTGGGCCAGGGGTGGGTTTCTCAGGGGCTGTGCCCTCCGTGGAGAGCTCGGCGCTCTCCAAGGGGCTCGGGAGGACCGAGGCCAGTTGCCGGGAAATCCGCTTCTTCCTAGGAGGAGGGACTGGGGGTTGCCGGATCTTCCTTGCCGACTCTGGCAGGATGCCCAGCTGGCTGGCTTGGGCCACTACTTCCTGTCCTTGCTCTGTGGTCCTCTGAGGCCTGTCCCCAGGGCTGTCTGAGGTCCCCTGGGGAGGCAGGCCGAGTGGGGGTGTCCGGGAAAGACCTGGCTGGTCCCACTGTACGGTTGTGCCCCTGTCCATCTTCTCCACAATCGGGTCCTCCAGGGAGACCTTCTCAGAGAGGCGGCGTCGAGGAGGAGCAGCAGGGGCGCCCTTCTTCCCTGGCCCTGGAGGGGCGGGGGCCTGCTGCAAGGGGCTGTGGGCCGCCCCTGGCTTCATCTCTTCCTCCCTGAGGGGGCCCAGGCCTGAGGGGGGGCATGGAGGCCTCTCACAGGCTGTCATGGGTCGCTGGCTTGGATGGTCCGGGGGGCCTAGGGCATGGGGTGCCAGGTGGGGGGCAGATGCTGGGGATGCAGGAGGAAGGGCGTCTGGAGGTGAGGGAGAACTAGGCAAAGGACAGGCCGGAGCTGGGGCAGGGGGTGGACGAGGCCGGGCAGGACTGAGGGGGTGGAGAGGAGGTGCTGGGGGCGGGGGCGCCGGGCGGCGAGGGGCCCACCGGGAGGCGGGTGAGGTAGAGTCAGAGGTGGGAGGCAACGGGCCAGAGGGGCAGCTTCTCAGGGGTGACAGGTCGGCAGGCAGGGCGCTGCCACAGTCCTCGATGAAGATCGGATTCACAAACCACAGGCGGTCATTTCCTACCGAGAGCTCAATTTCACACGCGCAGTTTTCCTGATGGGAGGTGGACCTGAGGCTGGAGGCTGGGGGCGCCCTGGGGGCTGGGTCTCTTGGGGGTTCTGCTGGGCTGCCAGCTGCTCGCCGGGGGTTCAGCGAGGAGTCCCAGAAGCCTGTGGAAACAAGAGGAGAAGAGGCGGTCAGTCCCGGAGCCGGCCCCCTGGGTGGGGTGGGGTGGGGACGGGGCACGGGAGGGCTGAGAGGGCCGTACCGCGTTTGCTTCTCTGCTCCCTGGGTTGTTTTCCCCTCTTGGACTGTTTCAAACCTCTCCCACCACTTCCTGCCTCGAGAGGGGAAGCCCCGCGAGATCCTCCCCTGCGGTGCTGGGGTGGGGCCAGGCGCCCTGTGACGGGGGCAGCGTCAGCTCTGTCCCTGGCGTGTGAGGGCCCACCATGGAGGGCACCATGACCCCGGTGCAGGCCGTGTGGGGACGGAGGGGCCCACAGCCAGAGTTCCTGCAGCTGGCGGGCCGGGGACTCCGGGGCAGGTGGCTGGATCTTTCTAGGCCCCCGTCTAGTCACCTCTAGAATGGGGGTGGCTGCCTGGGGCCTGTTCCACGTGGGGAGAACACACCTATGGACTGTGGCTGGTGCGCTCAGGCCTGACCTTCCGAGTGGGGAGCACCTGCCACTGCAAAACGACTGGTCTGGTCAGCTTTGATGTTCACTAGGAAACTGCCCATCCCCCCGTGGAAGGGTGTCAGCAAACGGGGCTCCCGCCCTGCTGGGTGGCGTCCCGGCCCGTGCCTTTCTCCTGACCTAGCCCTCAGGACGCAGCCCGTGCCTGTGGCCACTAGGGCACACCTGTCCCTATCCGGGCGTAGCTGGTCAGCGCCAGGCGTGTTCTGGGGAGGAGCGTGGGACCTCCAAACTGAAGAGCATTGGGGGTCACCGAGCTCAGAGTTCTTGACTTCTGGGTCCCAAGCCCCGCGGAGACTCTGACGGAAGCTCAGGGCCCTCCACGAAGGGCAGAGGCACGGAGACTGAGAACAATGCAGTTGGCCTGCAGCCTCTCTGAGCCCCAGGCAGCTCCTCCTGGACCAGGGGGCCCAGGTCTGGGTCTACCGTTAATGTTAGAGATTCAGAGTGCGGACTCCCTTGTTAAACATGGGCCAGGCCTCTGGACGCTCCCCTGGAGCCCCTTACTTCTGGGAACGATTCATCCAAAATAGCATCCAGCACAGTCACAGGGCAGACCACCCTGAGTCCTGGCGGTGAGGGCCACTGGCTCTACCCGGATCCTCTCTCACCGATCCTGACCCAGGCCTTCGGTGTAAGTCCTGATCCATCCCGCATTACACGTGAGGAGAAGAGACCCAGAGAGAGTCAAGAACCCGCCCACAGCCAGCCGGGCTGGTGTGGCTCAGTGGTTGAGCGTCGACCTATGAACCAGGAGGTCACAGTTCGATTCCTGGTCAGGGCACATGCCTGGGTTGCGGCTCGATCCCCAGTGTGGGGCGTGCAGGAGGCAGCCGACCAATGATTCTCTCTCATCATTGATGTTTCTATCTCTCTCCCTCTCCCTTCCTCTCTGAAATAAATAAAAATATATTTAGAAAAAAAAGAACCAGCCATGGTCACTGGGCTGGTGAGCGAAGGAGCTGGGGTGCGGGGCAGGTCTGCAGGTCTGAGGCCTGTGAGCCCGGCTGCTGTGCTGTGTGGCCTCCCTTCTTGGGAACTTGCGACACTTCCCATCTCAGCTGCTCGGCCAGCGTGAGTGAGGGGTGGCGTGCACCTCAGAACTGGGGATGTGGTAAGCACCCGACAGGCTCCTGACACCGAAAGAAAGTGGGTATCACACAAAGGCCGAGGGCAGTGCGTGTGCCTGAGATGGGCACTCCCAGGGACGCAGGGGTTTGCCCCCTTGCTGGCCAGGGGACCGCAAACCCTGTCCAGGTGAGCAGGGTGCAACCTCAGGACAAGGGGGGCTGCTGAGAAACGGATGTGTGAGCCTGCGCATCCTCGCTGAGGCATGGCCGTGACCGGAGGAACCCGGGCCTCAGGGTTCAGCTCCGTCCTGGGCAGAGACCCCGTGTCTGGTAGCCCGAGTGCTGTGGCCAGCTGTCTCCATGGTAGCAAGGGTGACAAGCCTTCGTGGGACTCTGTCTAATCTGCAAAGCTCTGTGCACATCACAGCCACTGTCTGAGGACAGAGTGCTGGGAGGGAGGAGGTGTCTCCGGGGCGCCCCCCCCCCCCACACCACCTAAGCGAGCTGTTCTTCACGGCTGCCTAGGCCTTTGCACGTAACTTTGGGAGGCAGCTCCTGACACCTCCATGACTCACCCACTCTCCTGGGTGCCTGGCACCAAGCACACAGCAATTCTGGCCTCGGGGAGTGAGCAGTGGAAGACCGTGCCCTGTCTGCACAGCCCCAGCAAAGCTGCCTCCTTGGAAGTTTTCCTGGGCAGGCAGCCAGCCTGACTCAGAGGTGAACTGGACAGCAGCCCCCCTACATGAGTGGAGGCCCCTGATGCTCACCTCCAAGCTCCCATAAGCCCCTCCTTTGGGTGAAGGTGGATGCCATGGGGCAGACCATAAACAGAACTGCCCACCCATGCCTGGGCACCCCCATTATTTCTCACCTAGATCATGGCCATAGTCTGCCCTCCCCTCCCCCCGCCAAACCCATTCTCCCCCTGTGGCACTATGCTGGGCATATAGTAGGCTGTTTGTTCAGAATCACTGCCAGCCCTTTAGCCTGGCACTCAAGGCCTGTGGGATCTGAATCTGTACACTTTTTCTTTTTAAATACATTTTTATTGATTTTTAGAGAGAGAGGAAGTGAGAGAAATAGAGAGATAAAAACATCGAGAGAAACATCACCGGTCAGCTGCCTACTGGGGATCAAGCCCGCAACCCGGGCATGTGCCCTGACTGGGAATCGAACCAGTGACCTCTTGGTTCATGGGTCCATGCCCAACCATTGAGCCACACTGGCTGGGCTCTGCATCACCGGCTGAGTCTTCACCCCATTCTCTGCACTTCTTCCTGGGCTGCCCCACCTTCAGTCTTGGCTGATGCTGTTCACTCTGCTTGGATGCTTTTCCCACCCTCTCCACCTGGCCAACTCTCCCTCATCCCTCAAGACTGGGGTCAAAGCTCTGTGCCAACGGCTGTGATGTGCATAGAGCTTTGCAAACTGGCTCCCTGTTGGGTGAAGTCATCCTGACCCACCGGGGCCTCCCCTACACTCTCCGTGCTCCCAGCCTTGGCACACACTCTGACTGAAGTGGCCATCACTGGGCTGTACGCTCTGATTTTGTCAGACTGCCCCTGCCGCCCCCCCCAACCGACTCTGAGCTTCCAGAAGGCAGCCACATGCTTCATCCGAGTATTTGCAGCACCTAAGACGGTGCTTGGCACAGAGCAGGAGCTCAGCCCTTTAGCTTGCACAGTGGATTAGCTTAGCCAGAGGAGAGAGGGGCTCTGAGGTGTGGGATACAGGCAAGGTTAGTTCTGATGGGGAAGCGGGGATGACCTGAACCATAGGAAGATGTCTTAGGGCAAGAGAATGAAGACACGAGAAAACGAGAGGAGGGAGGCACTGAGGAGGGCCATGGAGCTCCACAGGTGGGGCGGCCAACAGCTGGGCGGCCTGTTTCAGGAGAGCAAGGTGGGTCCATCCTGCACAGATTAAAAAAACAAAATGACACACGTTTCCTACAGCCCGGATTTGGGTTCTGGAAGGCATGAAGCAAACATTGGGATTCAGGGAAATGGGCCCAGAGCCTGGGGGACTAGGCACTGCTCCCCTGCTCCTAAGACAGCCTGCTGGCCGCACCCCGGCAGGGCAGAGCCAATGCCACTCTGAGGGGTGGGGGGAGCTGAGACCTGAGGGGCTGCCGTTTGCGGGCTGGACGCCTGTTAAGGAATTGCAGTGGCAGTGCAGGGTTTTATGCTTAAAAAAAAAAAAAAAAAAAAAAGGAAGTAGGTCACTTTCTTTGCAGCCTGCAGAACATCGAGGCCAGAGGAAAAGCGGAACACTGGCCTGCAAGCTAGTGGTTGGCAAAGCTGTGGCATCTGCGTCTAGTGGCAAAATGCCAGGCCTTGGCTCAGGGCCCTGCCTTCACTGCCTCTGTGCTGCCCTTGGACTGAGGGACGTTTTGCTGGCCCTTGGCCTCCCCTGCCTTATATGGACATACCTCTTGCCAGGTGTCCACTCCTATAATCCTTGGGGGCGGGGAAGGGGGGCCAGGGCCAGGCCAGGTGCTGGGCTGTAGGCCCTGGGGACAAAGGTGACGAAGGTTTCCCTCCTGGGGAGCCCGGGCTAGTGGCAGGGCAGAGAGGGCATGAGTAAATGCAGCAAAGTATTCCAGATGCCAGTGAAGCCACTCCAAAGTCCAGGGGTTCAGAGAAGAAATATGTCCGTGGCGTCCCAATCCCAATGACGGGCGGTTGGACAGTCATTCCAACTTGAGTGTTCAATGAGTTTTCAATAACTAGGAAAATTCTCATTTGTGATATAAAGGAAAAAGCAAGTTCCATGCCAACCCGGAAGAGCTACAGAACCTACGCCTTTCCTAAACATATTTTAAACCTATGAAACATACCGCAGACAAGTCAGAGAACGCCGGCAAGTCTAACCCGTAGTTACCACCGCTTTCTCTAGATTCCTTTGCACTTAGGATCAACCGCATACAGGTAAGTGCTAAATTGCTCCCAGTGTTAGTTGTGTAGCCTCAAGATTATTCCTTTACCGCCTGGCCTGCCCTTTCAATGGTGGCTTTTCCAAGCCCAAACTCAGAGTTTCTTACGTCAGCTCACGAGCGAGCGTCCTGGGCTATTGTGTGGTGCTGAGCCTGCAAACCAATAGCTCCCTTTCAAGCAAACAAACAGCATCACCTGCGCCTGAACAGCAGGGCTTGTGCAACTGTTTGGATATTTATTACCTTCCCCTCATTGCGTGAAAAGTGAGTAGAAGGCCAGAAAAAGAACACTGCTCCCCCCAGGGATGGGAAACACACGCGCCTCATGAACTAATTCCAGGCAGAGCGGCGTGGCCACTGCGGAAAACAATACGCAGGATCCTCACAAAATTAAAAACGGAACTGACCCAGAGGACCCACTTCAGGAATATCTCAGAAGAAACCCAAGACACGAATTGGAAAGAATATATGCACCCCTATGTTCACTGCAACATTATTTACAACAGCCAATATTTGGAAGCAACCCAAGTGCCCATCAATAGATGGACGAGCAGATCAAGAAGTTTTGGTACATTTATACAATGGAATATCACTCGGTCATAAAAGAGGAATGAAATCTTACCATTTGTGATAGCATGGATGGACCTAGAGCAGTGGTTCTCAACCTTCTGGCCCTTTAAATACAGTTCCTCATGTTGTGACCCAACCATAAAATTATTTTCGTTGCTACTTCATAACTGTAATGTTGCTACTGTTATGAATCGTAATGTAAATATCTGATAGGCAGGATGGTCTTAGGCGACCCCTGTGAAAGGGTCGTTCGACCGCCAAAGGGGTCTCGACCCACAGGTTGAGAACCGCTGACCTAGAGGGTAGTATGCTAAGTGAAATGAGTCAGTCAGAGAAAGGCAAAACAAACAAACAAACAAACCTAATAGAAGTAGACGCATGGATACAGAGAGAGAACTGGTGGTTGCGGAGGGGAGGGAAGTCGGGTGACTGGGTGAAAGAGGTGAAGGGATTAAAAGGCACAGATTGGCAGTTACAAGATAAGTAACTGCCAAGTCACGGGGATATAAAATACAGCCTAGGGAAGACAGTCAGTAACACTGTAATAATTGTGCCTGGTGCCTGGTGGGCTCTGGAAATATGGGGGGTGGTGCTTTGTAAGGTATGGTTGTCTAACCGTGACTCTGTACACCTGGAACTAATACAAAATAATACTGAATGCCAACTGTAATTGAAAAGATAAAAACAACTTATTCCGATTGCAAGTGGGCAGGAACCGGGAGCTGACGGGCGGGATGCTGCGTGTGGGGAGCAGCTGTGCCCGCAGAGCCTGCTGACCGTCTTCGCCGCTGCTGGGAGGTCCCCGTCCCTTCACTGAGTCCTGTCTGAGCTACGCCAGTTGGGCTGGGTTTCAGTTCTCCGCCACAGGAGTGCCTGCCTAGGACAATATGTGAGGGGCCTGTGTGTCCTGGCCCTCGGCAATCGCTGCTCTTTGCACTTTGTTACCACAGAACGCAGGTTAGGGCGGCCCGGCTCAGGCCTGAGCATCTCAGAGCCGAGCCCCGGCCTCTGACTGGGTGTGCCCTCGCAGCTCCGGTCTCCATCCGTGCAGGGGGTGGACGGAACTCGGGGATGGACGGAACCCGGGAGTGGACGGAACCTGGGATGGACGGAACCCGGGGATGGACGGGACCCAGGGATGGACAGGACCCGGGGATGGACGGAACCTGGGGGTGGATGGAACTCGGGGATGGACAGAACCCGGGAATGAACGGAACCGGCAGTGGATGGAACCCGGGGATGGACGGAACCCGGGATGGACGGAACCCAGGAGTGGACGGAACCTGGGATGGACGGAACCCGGGGATGGACGGAACCCAGGGATGGACGGGACCCGGGGATGGACGGAACCTGGGGGTGGACGGAACCTGGGATGGACAGAACTCGGGGATGGACGGAACCCGGGGATGGACAGGACCCGGGGATGGACGGAACCTGGGGGTGGATGGAACTCGGGGATGGACAGAACCCGGGAATGAACGGAACCGGCAGTGGATGGAACCCGGGGATGGACGGAACCCGGGATGGACGGAACCCAGGAGTGGACAGAACCTGGGGATGGACAGGACCCGGGGGTGGACGGAGCCAGGAAAAGCTATTCTGATGAGCCTCGCTGTACACCCTTCAGCCCTCGGGACACCACGTCTGATCAGAACCCTCTGCTTCCTCAGCTGCCGAGTCCCCAGGCGTTTCAGTGAATCCCCTTCTCAGGGACCTAAATGCTGACAGACGGGTCTGAACTGCCACGGGCTCCCCAGATGACAACCTCCCTCCCCCACTGCATCGCACCCGCGGTCAAGCTCTCCTCGACAGAAGGGCTTGTCCAGTCCAGAAAGGAGTGTCCCAGGGATGCCCGCCTGAACCCCACGGGGGGCCAAGGGCTGCAGCACAGCACCCCTCCTCTCACAGGTCACACTCCCGTCTTCCTCCCCTGCCAACTGGCCCCACACTGGCCACTGACTGCTCGTGGAAAGACACCGAGAAGGTCATGAGGGGGGCCGAGGGGCGGTGGAGAGCAGGGCTGGGTGCTCATCCCAATTTGTTCCTTCCCTCCCAGGCCCCCGACACGGCTCTGTGCTAACACTAGATTTCCTATCTCTACAAGGGACACAGGGTTACCCAACACAGTGCTGAGCGTGTCGCAAGGAGAGTGTCATTCATGCCGCTGCAGACCTCAGGGACTGTGTGCATTTCAAAACTGTCACCCGGTCCACATTCAAACTTCTGGGAGGGTCAGAGGCCAAAACGACCATGATCTGGGGGTGAGATCAGTATTTATCCCCAATAGCAACTGAGAACTGGCCCTAAAGTTTCTAAACAGGGTACACCAGACCCAGGAGAGTGGGGTGAAGAGTTAGGGGCGGTGCTGCAGCTGAACCGACGGTGTGACGCCGGACACGCCGCTCAAGCTCCGGGGCTTCAGTTTCCTCTGCCGTGAAGTGGGGGTGACAGTCACAGAACCCACTTTCTGGGGCTGCTCGAAGATCTGAGGAGTCGGTACAGGTCAAGAGGTTAGGACGCAGTCAGCGCTCCGTAGAGGTCGACACCCCGCCGCCTGGAGGACTCTACTTCCTCATGGGGCCCCTGAGCTTCTCGTGGCGTCGCACGCACGGCTGCCCAGCGGCCCCTCTGGGTGGCGGGCTGCAGCCTGGCCTGGGAACCGGCGTGCTCTGACCCCACGTGTGCCCCCAACTTCCTCTACGACCGGGTCCTGGGCGCCGAGCGCAGCCGCGTGCTGTGCCGGCCTGTGTGTGGCTCAGTCTTGATAAAGGCCTAGTGATTCACTGCTGGTTCACTGATGTGACCAGGTCTCTCTGCCCGGGGGTCCGAGCCCGCAGAGGCGGCTGGGGGCCAGCACGGTGCGGCCCGGTCAGAGCCTCAGCAAAGCCTGGCCCATGGGAAGGGCCCGTAGATGTGAGATCTCACTATTATGCGGGAGGGCTAGGGTCAGAAACACGCTTGTCTTTTCTCCTCTTTTCTTCCCTCTCCCTCTTCATCCCTCCGAAGGTCAGAAGGGAAAGGCGCAGGGTCAGTTGGCGGGGGCAGGCCAGATGGGGCACACGCTTGAGTTCACGGTCATGTTCGCGCTGCTCTTCCTCTGACAAGGATGGGGCTGGGACCAGGGCTGGGACCAGGGCTGTGGCGGCGGCTGGTCCCCCCTCTCTGGCCACCGTTGAGAAGGACCTTGGCATTTGGTTTAGCCTCTCCCAGAGCCACGCCTGACCATCGGCGGCCCTGACCAGCCCGGCCCCGCAGGTCCCCTGGGTAGCTGCTAAAAGGCACCTCTATGAAGCCTGGAGGCTCTCCCTGCTGTTGGGCTCAGCAGCCTGGGCAGCGCGGGTCCCATGGGAGCCGGGACTCAGGATCCAGCCTGGGTCTCAGCGGAGGGGTCACCTCTCTGCACAGTGGTCAGCAGGGGCAGTCCTGGGGCCCCGTTTCCTCGAGCCCCGCCACCCCCCTGGCCCTCAGGGTGGACTTACCCAGGCCCAGGTTGGCGACGGTCTTGAGGTCTGTGAAGCTGCTGGCCTCAAGGATGGCCTGCGGCAGCCTCAGCGTGAAGGGCAGTAAATCTCTGTGGAAACAAGAGGGGTCAAGGTCAGGTCTGGGAGGGACCTGTGTGTCCATTCCCACCCCCACAACCCCTGCACCCAGAGCCCATAGAGGAGAAACCCCAGCATCCCCGCTGGCTGCTGGGGCCGCCACACAGACGGGAAACCCCTGGGGTGGAGGGCACAGCCCCGAGGCTGACGGAGCATCCAGGCAGGTCCAGGCCCCGGGCCAGCACGATGGACCCTGAGAAGTGGGAGACCCCCATGGGAGTGGGGAGGGGGCACAGCTTCCCCCACGTTTCCTGCCTGGGAGCCCAGGGAGCTGCCCGGGAAGCCTCTACGCTGGGTAAAGCCAGTGACCCACCCCTCTCTGCCCTCTGACCCTCACTGCTCCACACTGAGATGGGCAGCGAGCAAGCACACAGTCTGGCTTCTCCAGTGAGCACCCAGACATCCCCCAGTGAGCACACAGTCAGGCTTCCTTGGTGAGCGCACAGTCAGACATCCCCAGTGAACACACAGCCAGGCTTCCTTGGTGAGTGCAGTCAGACATCCCCATTGAACACACAGCCAGGCTTCCTTGGTGAGCGCAGTCAGACATCCCCGACAACGCATAGTCAGACAGCTCAACCTGCTGCCTTTGGTCTGAACGGGGAAGTATTCAGGGATTTCCCCAGAGATCTCCTGGCAGGGACTCAGACACTCTCCCCGTTTATTGTGCAGACAGGGAAACTGAGGCCCAGAGAGGAAAAGGAATATGCCCAGGCCACACAACAGGTTGAAGGCAGAGTGTGCTAAGCCCTGGGCCTCCTGAGTTCTCGCCCAGGGCTGTTCCAAGGGGCCGGAAGGGGAGGGGCCCCAGGATGGACGGTCCCAATTCTACACTTCAGCCTGGCATTCAAGCCCCATCACAGCCTGACCCTGACCCCCCCACTTTCCAGCTCTAGCCACCTTCTCCCCAAACCCCAATTCCAACCCTGTGGGTAGGCATTAATACCTTTGTGTTAACTAATTAATTTGGCATTGAATCCCCTAGGGGAGCTACTAAAAATGCATATTCCAGATCCACTCCCAGGGGTGCCGAGGGTCAGGTCTGGGGGTGGGCCAGGAGCCCACATTTTTAACAGCTCTCGAGGGGATCCTGATGGACACCGCCTTGGGTGGGAATCACGTCCCCCAAAGCAAGGGGGGGGGGCAATACAAATAAAAGTTAAGCAGCTCTCCTTAGGTATGCATGTCTAGACTGCCTTATCAACTACTAAGACCGCTGGAAAGCATTCACGAAGAGAAAATTTCAAAATGAGATTTTTAGAACAAGTGTCCTAACCTTCCCCCCACACACTCTGGCAGGTCAGCTTGTGCACCTCCTAGGACAGTGATGGCGAACCTTTTGAGCTCGGCGTGTCAGCATTTTGAAAAACCCTAACTTAACTCTGGTGCCGTGTCACATATAGAAATTTTTTGATATTTGCAACCATAGTAAAACAAAGACTTATATTTTTGATATTTATTTTATATATTTAAATGCCATTTAACAAAGAAAAATCAACCAAAAAAATGAGCTCGCGTGTCACCTCTGACACGCGTGTCATAGGTTCGCCATCACTGGCCTAGGGCGCCAACGCCCCTCCCTGGAGGCCTCTGTTCTAGCTGATGTTTTTCAAACTTTTTGGATTATGACTGTCAGCACGAAACACATCCGGCATCATGGTACAGTGTGTACACATACACACACACACACCCCTAAAAGAAGTGTAGCACGAGTCTTAGTCCAGCCACATGAGACGCACTCTGGTATTTTCTAGTCTAGTTTAATTTTTCATTAAAAAAACAGCCAGTGGTGCCCTGGCCAGTGTGGCTCAGTTGGTTGAGCTTTGCAGGTCAGGGCACATGCCCAGATTGGGGGCTTGATCCCCAGTAGGGGGCATGTGGGAGGTGGACAATCGATGTTTCTCACATCGATGTTTCTCTCTCTCTCTCATCAATAAAAACATATATACTTTTAAAAGAGCCAGTCATGATCCACTCAATTGATTTGACGACCCCTCTGGGTGTCTTCTGACATCACCAACCAATCCACCAACACTAGTGGGGTTGTCCCCCAAGGTAATGCAGTTCTGACAGTACCTGCCTGGAGTTAGTGCAGACCCCACAGGTTAAGGACACGGTCCCCCCACTCTGCCCCCAATCCGGGTGCCCTCTGCGAATCCCAGGCCACCTGGACTTCCGACCGGCTAGAAACCAGGGGCTCCCGTGACCCCGTCCCAGGCTCGACAATTTGCTGGAACAGCTCTCAGAACTCGGGGAAACACTTTACTTACGTTTACCGGTTTGTTATAAAGGAACAGCCCGATGGAAGAGGTGCACCGCCAGGGGTAGGGGGAGGGGCAGGGAGCGTCCACACCTCCCTGGACCCAACGCCCTCCCAGCACCTGGGAGTCCATCTGGGAGGTGGGTGGGTGGGGCTGAGAGCTCCGGCCCTCTCGCCCCTGGGTGTTCTGGGGGTCAGCCCCAGCTTGAGGTGAACTAGGGCCCCCACCTGTGTCAGCTCAGAATAAACTCACGAGTGGTTGAAAGGGGCTCATGGTGAACCAGGAGAGCCACCCCACCACTCGGGAGACCCCAGGGCTCCAGGAGCTGTGCCAGGGAGCTGGACAGAGAGCACGTCTTTCTGTTCTCTCCCACGCCTCCCCCTGGCTGTGGTCCCAGGTGGGAAAGCACCACACACCATGTACATTATCGCACTCACTCCTAGGCACAGGCTAGTTTCTCCTCCCCCTGAGGGCCTGGGCACCTCGCTAGGTGCTGGACAATTTGGGGGTGACCCGGGGAGCACTTCTAAGATGTCAGACCCGGCCTAGGAGAACAATATCTGAACCCCCTTGATGCCCACGGCACCCTGAGCTCCATCTCCTCACACATCCTGGGTGACTTATGGTTTTGAAAGTCGACCACTATAGAGGGAAGAGCATGAATTCATTTTGGTGACTTTTTTTTTTTTTTAGAGAGAGAGAGAGACAGAAAAAAGCCAGCCTGAACTTTAGAATCCACGGGCCCAGCTCGAACCCTGGCTGCATTCCCTGCGGGGTGTCGTTTCCATTTCCCGTGTGACAGGGGGGCACGATGCCTGCTAATGGGGTTGTTTTGTGAATCCAACGAGCTGGGGCCTAGGGACCGCACGGCCCCCCCGACCGGGACTAGAGGCTGCGCCTGTGTTTCCTCCTCCTCCTGGGAGCGCAGGCCACGGACACCTCTCAGGGCCTCGCCCTGCTCACCGGGTGGCTCCTGGCTGAGGGGGCAGGGGCCCCAGCTCCAGGCAGTGATAACAGCTCTTTCTTCAAATGCCGCGAGGCCCTGCCGGCCCTCTTCCTCCAGGTGGCAGGAAGATGGCAGCTTAGTCACAACCCTTGGCGCCTGGACATCTCCTCGAGAGGGCAGGCCCAGGGGCTCCTCCCTTCCTTCCTCATTTCGGTTCACTGCACCCTCTTCACGTGGCTACAGACTCCTGCCCAGGGTGTGCAGAGGACCAGACCTCATGGACCCTGTAGCAAGGATGTCAACTCGCGGCTGGCGGGCCGCATGCCCTGGTGGCCGGCTGCGAGTTTGACATGCTTGCTAGGGCTCAGCCGAGACCTGCCTCGTAGTAACTGCTTCAGATGCGGTCAAGTGTGTTCACCTCCTGCTGCTTAGGATAGAGCCCCGGCATCTCCCCCGCAGCCCCTGCTTCCACCCCCTCCCTCTAGGGCAGCCGTGGGCAAACTACGGCCCGAGGGCCGGATCCAGCCCGTTTGAAATGAATAAAACAAAAAAAAAAGTTTCTCTTTTATTAGTGTAGATGTTTACTTTGAATTTATATTAGTTCACACAAACACTCCATCCATGCTTTTGTTCCGGCCTCTGGTCCAGTTTAAGAACCCATTGTGGCCCTCGAGTCAAAAAGTTTGCCCACCCCTGCTCTAGGGGCTGCCCCAGCCCTCGGGTTCCCCCATTCAACAGTCCCTGAAAACAGAACCAGAGCACCTACTGGGTGTCGGGCAGCGTGCTGTCTCTATCCCATTCCCCCTCCAGCATCTCTCTCATGAGCATTATTCCCACATGGAGTTGAGACTCAGAGAGATGAAGTAAGAAGCTCAAGTGCTGGGCTCTGCGACTGCCATCATTCATTCTTTCATTCATTCATCAAAGCACCTGGAATGTGCCAAGCCTTCCACTAAGGTGAGAACGTCTCAGCACAGGAAAGGCCTGTCTCCCGCAGAGACTGGCACGTCATCGTTCACAAGGGCAGGGCCTCTGAGGCTTTGCCTTGTGGGCCTGGAGGGACACACTAGGTCAGTGGTCGGCAAACTGCGGCCCCTTGAGTGTGGCTCTTCCACAAAATACCACATACAGTGCGATTGAAACTTCATGGCCACCCTTCTTTTCACTTAGCTGCATAATCTTTCTCTAGATGTAACATAACTTATTAACCTTTTCTCCTAATGGAAGGCCTTTGGGTTGATTTGCTGATGTTCTTTGGTATTAGAAAAGATGCTCGATCCCTGGTGTGGTGTGTGCAGGAGGCAGCCGATCAGTGACCCTCTCTCCCTCTCCCTTCCTCTCTGAAATCAATAAACATATATTTTAAAAAGGGGGGGGGGTTGGCATGACTTTTATGGCTTTTGTCATATCAATATATGCTTTACAAAGCATTCAAAATAGTTTAGTATTCCTTTACAAAGGGGTTTTGCCAATATACTTGTTATGTAATTCCCCAAATAAACCTGTGAAGTAGACCAGGTAAGCAGTTATTCCCAGTTAAGTTCAGTGCCTTCCTGAGTCAAATGGCTATTTAGGGGCAGAGGTGGAAGTTATTTTCAGGGGCTTTGATTTTAGTGTTTTTTCCCCCTTAATTTTTGTTGTTAATCCTTAACTGAGGATATTTTTCCCATTGATTTTTAGAGAGAGTTTAAGTGAGGGAGGGAGAGAGAGGAAGGGAGGAAGAAGGGAGTGAGAGAGCGAGAGAGGCTAGAGAGAGAGAGAGAATGAGAGAGAGAGAGAGAGACATTGATATGAAAGAGATATCTATTGGTTGCCTCCCACACATGCCAGACTGGAGGGCTGGGGATCAAACTTGCAACCCAGGTACATGCCCATGACTGGGAATAGGTGCGTGGACCAATGCTCTAACCGCTTTATCTATTTTGCATCTCCACTCTGCCATTTAACAGCTGTGTGACCTTGAGCAAGTTACTTCTCTCAGTCTTAGTTTTCTCATCTATAAAATGGGAATAACAAGAGCACTGCCTCGTGTCATTGTTTGCAAGATTGACAAGGATGTCGGTTGTCAGAGCTCAGTGCTGGGCACCAGGAAAGCGCTCGGCAGGCAGCAGCTCTTAGCAGCTGTCAGTACCAGCACCAGCGTTTCTGCCCATCGGGGCCCGGAGGGTCCTGGCAGGTGGCAGGTGGCAGGTGGTGTTCTGGGCTGGGTGCGGTTTTCACCAGCAAGGATGGCGTCTTTGAAGGAGGGAGAAGTGGGCCTGGAGCTCCGGATCCCGAGACATCCTATCCAGCCTCTAGCCAGTTTTAGCCAAGACACGGTAGCTTAAGCCAGCGGCTTCTGACACCCAAATGTATTTTTAAATTCCTGTTGACCTGCAACCAGTTCTGAATAAATAGAGCAGCTCTGAGGGTGGTTACCAGACACCCGCTCCACCCTGCAGCTGCTCAACAATCACAAGCTCCCTCCCGCGGAGGGTACCAGCCCTTCCTGCCGCCCCTACAGGAAGTTCTTCTTCTAACCCTAACGGGGTGCACCAGGTCCACCCAGGACCCCCAGCTGCCCTGGAGGCCAGAACAGGGGATGCTAAGGTGACAGGCAGTGAGCCGGGGAGCAGGTGGTGGTGAGGAGGGGTCCTTACTGGCAGATCTAAGGAAGCACCACCCTCCAGGGTTACCAGGGCAAAGCCGGGGACTGTCCCCCTCCTCTGCATCCTGTGGGCTGCACCCTTCCCTCGGGGGCTTCCCTGGGACTCCCCGCCCTCACCCAGTGTTGCATGGCCATCTGTTGCCACCAGACGCCCTCCCATGGGGCCAGGGGTACTCACCTACTGACACAGTAGAACGCGATCAGTCTGAAGATGTCCTCAAACACAAGAACCGAGCCTTCCAGGTACAATACTGAGGAGAGATGACAGAGGCCCGGATAAGTGTCCCGGTTAGAGGGAGGGAGGGTCCTGGCGGGGGGGGGAGGTGTCTTTCGAGTTCATTATTGCAGGGCCTGGCCTGCTGGGGCCACATGTTCATTGGCTGCCCTCGGGACCACAGGGGAGTGAGAAAGGAACTTATGTGGCAGCGATGTTCAACCTTTCTCATCTCCCGGCACACAGGCTAATTACAGAAATTCTGCAGGACACCGAAAGTATGTATTTTTTTGCCTATCTGACAAACAAAAGGTATGCGATGGATTCCTTCACACCAGACAGCTATTGTTGTATTGGCTGTTGTCATTTTTTTTTGGTCATTTTTTGATTTGTCAATCTAGGGGGAGAAAGAAATCGGTGACCAGACGGCTATTGTTGTATTGGCTGTTGTCATTTTTTGATTTGTCAATCTAGGGGGGAAAGAAATCGGTGCCCCTGACTAAACAGTCAGGTATTGCATGTCTTAAAAATTCTTGCAGCACACCGGTTGAAAATCACTGTTCTATGGTGTTAATCCACTGAGATTTGGGGTGGTGATTACCTGAACGAATACCCATCATTTTGGGCACAATAACACAGAAGCCTCCAGAATGAAAGCAGAGTAAAACGTTTAACTGATCAGGGTCATCTCAACCTGGCAATTCTGAGGGCGGAGGGGATAGCGGGAGAAAGCCGTCCAGGTCTGTGTTGGCCTCCGGGAGGTTCATCGGTCCAGGGCGCTGACCTGGGGCCACTGGCCCTCCCCCCAAGAGGACCTGGTAGGACCTCACTTGACGTGCCTGATGTTTTCCAGCTCTGACAAGGGAGAGGGACCAAGGCATTTGCCTAAGATCCCACCCCAGGGCGGGGGTGTGGCTCCTTGGAGAGACTGGGTGCCAGGATGTGGCATGAGTGCCCGAAGCTGGGGGTGCAGTGACCAGAGGATGTGGCACAATGCCACACCCTGCTCTGGACGGCAGGCAAGGGCCCAGGGACGCTGAGTGGATGCTCCCCAGCGCTCTTGGCGCCCTCCACACCCACGACTCCTGACTCTCACTCAGGACTCATTTGCCCAACAGAGGGGCTCCCTGTGCTGGGGACCCCCCACTGCACTTTCTAGGGCATCAGAAGGGCCGAGAAACATGTGTGCATCACCCCTCAGTTCCAATTTCCTGAGGGCCTTCTAGCAGCTGTGTGATGGAGGGAAGGCAGGTCCCAGTCCCAGTCCCAGGCCGGGCTCTGACCCTGGGACCAACAGGGTGATGCTGGGTATGTCCCTTCCCCTCCCAGCACTGCAGTTCTTCCACCCTCCGACCCTGAACTCCCCGTGCATCCAGGTGACACTGGCCGGCGGCCCGTTTTCATAGCCTAGGACAGCGTTCCTTGCACTGGTGGTCTGCGAGGTGGTTCTGGGTGACACATGGACCAACACGGGCTGTTCTAATAGCTTCAGCTTTATATTTGCCTTCTTCCCATGAGTTAACATGCTTTTTAAAAAACGTCTACATTCATCATCTATTTATGGCAGAGAGGTCATGGTTTCCCATTAGGACAGACATAAGAAGGTTAAAAGGAATTTTAAAGAAAGACATGCAGTAGGTGATAGCATGGAAGGTGCTCTGAAGACGCCTACAAATGACTGGAGTCTGAGAAACACTCCACGGAGCCCGCACCCTCTGTGAAGTGATAGCGGCAGGGCGGCCCACGGCGCCATCTGGTGCTGGCATTGGGTACAGCGCCTACTCGCCGCAGCGCTGGCCAAGGGAGCCAGGTGCCCAAAGACCTGCAGCCACAGAGCTAGAGACCATTCCACCTGTAAAAGGAGACCATGTAGCAGGAGCCCCTCGCAGCAGGGGGTGGTGGTGACGCACGCAGAAAGCCCCGCCTCCTACACGGGACGTGCTCAACCATGAGCCGCTTTCCTTCGCTGTGGGGACCTGGTCTGACCTTGGCCGACACAGATGAAACCTTTGCCTGCTGGCACTGTACATAAAGTCGCACTTCTTTTAGATGTTTTCCCGACCGTCTGCGTGCTGCTTAGGTCCTCGAGGGCAGGGACCACGGCGCATTCACTTTTGTAGTGGAGGACAGAGCACCAGTCGCCTTCCTACTGTTAAAGCTGCCGAGTTTCAAAATCACAAGCAAGGGTCAAGGCTCTCGTTGTTTCTTGTGACCTCTTCTGCCCCAGCTCCAGCTCCAGCCCCAGCCAGCTGCCCACTGCCCGGTCCTGACGGTGGGAACTGCTTCCCCTCACCCCGAGGCCCCCGGGAGCCCCTGCGCGCCAGGGCCAGGCTGGGCCCCAGGGTGAGCCTCCCTCAGCCCCCAGCAGAGCCGCCTGAAATGGGTAAACTTATGGTACAGGATGCATGACAGGAATACGTCTCAATAAAGCCATTATTAAACCAAGAAAAACGCTCGCCGGGTGGACAATTTCACTGCCCGCAGTAAGGTTTTCTAGGATTTTTATAATGAGCATGTATGAGTTCTGTAAGCAGAGAAACTGCCAGAATTCTCTACCTGGTTCTCTAATTTCCTACCGTTCTCTGTAAACGTATCTCTAGAGCCGACTGGCTTCCGGCGTCCTCTTAGCTCCTGCTGCTATAGAACCGCTCACAGCCCTGCAGGGCACAGCTGACAGGCCCCATCCACCCACTATGTACCCCTAACACACGCCCCTGCCCCCCAGCCAGCTTCTGAAGAGCCTTGGGCGCGTCCAGCACCCACTCTGCCCTGGGCAGCAGCTCACGCAGGGACCCGGCCAGCGGCTCCTCCCAGTAAAGATGCCAGTGCCGGCAGCCACCTTTGAAAAGCACAGGCAGCAACCCCTCCACTGTGTGCAGTCCCCAGGGTCCCTCAGCGGAAACCCTGGTGGGAACACGCCAGACCCTCTCTGGCCATTTCTCTTTCAAAGGGTGAGGAGAGAATGGGTACCAGCCAGCAGCACCCGGCGTGTCCCGAGGTGACCACAGGCGACAACAGCAGAACTCTGCCTCCACTTAGAGGAAAGGAAAGCTTTCACCTATGACTCCCCGTCAAGGCTGAGTGGGGACAGGGTGCAGATGCAAGGCCCACACACGCCGGAATGGCTCCCAGCATTCACAACCCCAGTGTCAAAATGAGGTATGCACAGCCTGACTGGCGTGGCTCAGTGGCTGAGTGTCGACCTATGAACCAGGAGGTCATGGTTCAATTCCTGGTCAGGGCACATGCCTGGGTTGTGGGCTTGGTCCCCAATGGGGGGCATGCAGGAGGCAGCTGATCGATGATTCTCTCTCATCATTGATGTTTTATCTCTCTCTCCCTCTCCCTTTCTCTCGGAAATCAATAAAAATATATTTAGAAAAAGAGAGATATCCACAAAGAATGGAAAGCTAGTAGATCTTTAAAAAAAGGGGGGGGGGAATTCCATTTAATCACTCAGTCGTCCAAATGAACTGCCAAGGACAGGAGCTGCGTGTGTATCTTCTGTTCTTCACGGTTGCCCAGACCCAGGCATGGTGCTGAGCATGTTGCCGGCTCTCCGATGCTTATTTAATGATTTATTTACAAAGTGTTTTATTTGAAAATACTTAGAAGAATCATAAGAAGTTGCAGAGATGTACAGGGAGGTCCTGGGCACCCTTCACCCAATTTTACATGGGTGCATGTGTGTGTGCGTGTGTGTGCATGTGCGTGTGCGTGCTGGTACCGTGCTATGAATTGTATCCCGTGTGTAGCTGTCTGAAATCACCACCACAACCAAGATATGTCACTGCACCATCACTGCAGGGCTCCCTGTGCTCCCCGCTTAGAGCCACAGACACTCTCCGCTCACCCCGGGCCCCCGGCAACCACCAATCTGTTCTCCATCTCTATGGTGATGCTATTTCACGAATGTCTTAGAAGTGGAGTCACACAGTATCCAGCCTTGACACTGGCTTTCTTCACTCAGCATGATTTCCTCGAGGGTCCTCCAGGTCGCTGGCTGAACCAATTGCCTGCTCCTCTTTAGTGCTGAGTCAGCGCCCATGGTTTGGATGGAGCATTCTTTGCTTGACTAGTCACCCGCTGAAGGACATCTGGGGAGTTTCCAGTTTTGAGTTATTATGCACAGAGCTCCTATGGACATTTGTGTACAAGTGTCTGCATGAAAATATGCTTTCTGGGCGACATCTGTAATACTGTCAATAATAAAAACTATATTTAAAAAGGAAATAGACTTTCCTTTCTCTGGGACCTATGCCCAGGAGTGCTATTGCTGGGTCATACGGTACATCCGTCAAAGGAACCGCCAGACTGCTCTCCTGAGTGGCCAGCAATGCACGCAGGGTCCAGCGTCTCCCGTGCCTGCCGATTCGTTGTCACTGTTCTTTATTGTAGCCATTCCAGTCGGTGTAGAGTGACATCTCAAGATGGTTTTGATTTGCATTTCTCTGATTTGGATTTTTGGAAACAAAGATGTTGACCTTCTTTTCATGTGGTTATTTGTTATCTGTATATCTACCCTCTGGTGAAGTGTCTATATATATCGTTTGCCAATTTCCTAATTGGGTATTTTTTTAATGTTGAGGTTTTTTAAAAATCACTTCATTAAGATATTCACATACCATACAATTCACCAATTTAAAGTGCACAATCAATAATTAATGGTCTTACCATATTCACAGAGTTGTGCAACCATCACCACAATCAATTGTAGAACATGTTCACCTTCCCGAAAGGAAACCCTGGATGTGTGTGCCCTCGGCTGAGTCATTTTACTTATCTTTTTGTGCTTTGATTTTCTCATCTTTAAATGGTGACAACAATCGTATTTTCATCATAGGTTGTTGTTGAGGCAAATTAATGGAAAGCATTTAACCTAGCATACAGTTGAATCCACTTTTTGACAAGTAGTCAAAAAGTGGATGAAATCTGTATACAAGTTTTTATGTGGACATATGTTTTCATTTCTCTTGGGTATATATTAGGCGTGGCATTGCTGGGTCATCTGGCAACTACATGTTTAAGAATGACCAA